AGGACTCAATGTAGTATATTCCAGTCTCAATCTTCATCACCCATTCCACCGATGCAGCGTCGCCCCAAGGCCACCATGCGAGGCAGCCAACTTCGGGTCCTGTTGGAGTGTGCGTGACGACTAGGAAGGTGGTGCCACTCTCTTCCCCAACTTCAGCACTCCGGACCGCAAAACCTTCAGCCGACCCCCACGGATCGCTTCTCCGGCGTCTTCTGGTCGTGAAAAAGACACCCACGACAACAAGCCCGGTATTCGGGGCCGGGGTGCGGAACAAACAGGCTTGAACAGAAGACCCGGTTTTTTCCCGGAGTTCTTGTGAAATCAAGTCCTTCTCTGCATGTCTTGTGACCCAACCGGCAATTACAGGATCTCTCGGCACTCTATCTGAGCACTTTTCACACTTCAGTCTCACGACTTTTTACATTGTATGTACCTTCCACAAAGGTCGCAAGAAGGCCTAGAAGCCAGGGGGGGGGACACACACGATGTCTTATCCGCCTCTTGTGGATACGTGATTAGCGAATTTTGCTCGTGTTTTCACCAAATCGCTATTAGGCTGGAGGCCATCGCTATTAGGTTGGAGGCCATCGCTATTAGGTTGGAGGCTATTGCTATTAGGTTGGAGGCTATTGCTATTAGGTTGGATGCCTTTGCTTGTAGGTTGGAGGCTATTGCTATTAGGTTGGAGGCCATCGCTTCTATATGAGACCAGCCGCCGTTCTAACATGTCCCTCCGATCGCGCACCTCCTACTCCGGGATGAAGTACTCAGCTTTGGGCGTTCATACTTTTACCCAGCTGTGCTTTTGGGGCGTTTGCACACCGTCTACGAATGAAGTCCAGACTTTTTCTTCTGTGACAAAACATAAAAGGAACGCAAACACCGCTGCCACCTAATAAATGGAACGCAACCATTAAGCCAGCGTCATGTCGAATGTCTTCCACCCATCAGCGCCTAGCTCAGCCGTGCGACCATGAGCCACCACGAAGCCATCACGTGACTGACCCAAGTAGCTGACTTGGGTCGAAGCTGCGGTTTTCAAGGAAACAACGCCGTGGCGAGTGCTCTTGTAACCAAGGTATGATGGAGGTGGCGGGGTGTCCTTCCCTGTCTCAACCCGTCGCAGCCAACAGATCACAACAGATCTGCGTATGCGCAACAGTTGGGTTTCAAACAGCCCGAGCATGCAGCAAACCAAGACAAAACCAGCAGGTATTGGTACCGGACCACAACAATAGCTCGACAGTCCGACCGTCTTCAAGGTGAGCAAAGAAGCCGCTTCAGTTCCAGAAGATTCAGTCGAAAACAATGGTTTACACGTATAGCCATGGCATTTGGAATTTGGACATTTTAATGTATAGCACCGAGATGTAAGGACCTCTGGCATTGATTTAAAGAAATCCACCCCTTAAAGCGCAGGTAATCGAGGCCTGCCTCAGTACAAACAGGCAGCGACAACAGTCACATTGTCTCAAAAGAGATGCATGCCCCTCTGGCTAGATCTCAATTCTACAACCTTGCACTTAACTGAGAAAAGCTTTTAAAAAAGGGACAGCACAGTTGCATCTTGAGCAGTCTTGGTCTCTTCAAGCGGTTTTTTGGATCTCTTCCCTCTGACAGCAACATGCTACCAGCTGTGAACTGATGGTTTGAGAGACCGAGTCAGCTGAGCTCAGACTGCCTCATTTGGTGCACTGAGTAGGTCAGATCCACAGACCGGCGCCCTGGGTACGTCCACGTACTGACCGAAGACACTTGTGCTTCTCAAAGCATTCTGCAACAAAGCTCACATCAGCTTGGAACAGCAAGCCTCTGACCGATTTCAGGCGCTTCAGGCTCACATCGTCGACTTCAGGCTCCACATCGCTCCGCAGACTGGTCGGCCTGAACCGAACTGAGGGGGTCAGAACGAAAGGGGGTCCGTCTACCTCGTTGAGCTACACAACGGCCGCCGCTGGCGCTATCGAAGGAGATCGAAGGTACTACCCTGCAAGGTCATACCTTGAGGGAAGATCTCAGAAGGTATTTAGATTCACGATCAAATGCTGGGATAAACACGGTGCATACGGTTCTGTGAGAATTATCTAAGATTGTGTGAATCCTTCATGAAAGGCCCAACCAGCTCAAGACCGAGAAAGCTCTTCTGCCAAGAGGCTCTGGCATTAGTTTAGCACTTCTGAAAAGTGCTCAACACGGCATCATCACTCAAATCAGTTAAATCTTTTTGCGCAAGCCGAAGGT